AATTATTTCTCTCACAAAATGCTCCATAAGCTGGACCATTGTGTGGGAGGTGTGTATAGGTGTTCTTGAGAGTGGGAACCTGGCCTTTGATTACTAGAACAGGTTTTATAACATAGAAGAGATTTATTTACAGGAAATACATGATAGGGAAAGGAAAAGCTACCTAACTACTTCTTACCAGGAGGAGAGTACTGCTTTGGAACATAGGCAGAAGGAAGTGACCTACCTTACCAATTTTTGGGGGTCAGCTTGAGAAAGAGGGAAGAGAGAGGAAATCCTTACTGCTCTATGTACAGAGTCCATTTTTCATCAGTTTCTGAATGCTACTGAATCCACTAACTAAAGAAACAACGGCTTTTTCAGATGCAGCCCATTGTGAGAAGTGCCCAGATGACCAGCATTCCAATAAAAAGCGAGACCAGTGTGTCCCCAAGATTATAAGTTTCCTGTCTTATCAAGAAATGTTGGGTCTCATCCTGACTCTCTTTGCACTTGGGTTGTCCATAATCACTGCCTTTATTTTGGGAATCTTCATGAAATACCGAGAAACTCCCATAGTCAAAGCCAACAACCGGGACCTCACCTACATTCTCCTGGTCTCCCTCCTGCTTTCTTTCTTGACTTCCCTGCTGTTCATAGGTCACCCCAAGAAAGTGACCTGCCTCCTTCGACAAACTGCCTTCAGTGTTGTTTTCTCAGTTGCTGTATCCTGCTTGCTAGCCAAGACTGTCATGGTGGTGGTGGCCTTTCTGGCCACAAAGCCAGGCAGCAGGATGAGGAAATGGCTGGGAAAGGGTCTGGCCAACTCCATCGTCTTGTCCTGCTCTGGGGTTCAGGTGGGCATCTGCATCATATGGCTGGGAATCTCTCCCCCATTCCCAGATTCTGACTTGCATTCCCAACCAGGGCACATCGTTTTGCAATGTAATGAAGGCTCAATCACCATGTTCTACTCTGCACTGGGCTACATGGGCTTTCTGGCTGGCATCTGCTTCTTGGTGGCTTTTCTAGCCCGAAAGCTGCCAGGGACCTTCAATGAAGCCAAGTGGATCACCTTCAGCATGTTAGTTTTCTGCAGCGTTTGGGTCTCCTTTGTCCCCACCTACCTGAGCACCAAAGGGAAATACATGGTGGCTGTGCAGATCTTCTCCATCCTGGCCTCTAGCCTGGGCTTACTGGGCTGCATCTTTGTCCCCAAATGCTACATCCTCCTCCTGAGACCTGACCTGAACACCAAGGAGCATCTCATGATGAAAAACTAGGAGGGCTCCTGATTTAGGTGGTTAATTTCTGTACCACCTAGTGGTGATATAAGATAGCTTGGAAATAAATTCTTTTTTATGTCTTCTAAGAGATTCTTTCTCCCATCTTAACTTTTAATTATGACTGCTAAATGAAACTGATTTTGTAAGAGACCATTTTATTTTAAATCATTATTTTGTTACAATCTGCATTCATCTAGAATGATAAACTATCATTAATGTTAATGTAGTTTCTGAAACCAGAAAAGAGAAAGCAGTGTATTGCAGCTTCACTTAACCTAATTTTTAGAGGAGAGGAAAATCTGTCGCTAATGATGAGGATGGTTTTGGTTTTAGTGTGTTTTATTTTATTATTTTATTTTATTTTATTTTATTTTATTTTATTTTATTTTATTTTACTTTATTTTATTTTATATTTTATTTTATTTTACTTTATTTTGTTTTGTTTTGTTTTGTTTATTTTATTTTTCCCTTTTGTTGTGGGTTGAGCTTTCATTCTACTCCCTGGATCATTATATGCTTTGACTTATTTCTTTGCTCCTACATTTTTTTCTTCCCCTCTTTTTTTCTAACAGATTATCTAAGATATTCCAATTGTTAATTTGAAAACAATATATGCTGATTTGAAGGCACTGATCCAGCACATGGCATTTTGAAAGAGGTAGAAGTTTGGAAAGCATCGCCTTTTCTATAGAGAAAAGAAGTGGACCAGCTCATTTCGGGAGGGAAACTATGATGCTTTCTTGTAGCTATAAAGAACCTTTGGCCAGCTAAAAGTCTGGTCAATTGATTATGGTATGAGTTTCCTTTAATTTGGATATGCTTTTTGCAAGGGCAATCTGAGAGTCTCTTGGACTGAGATGAGCGGCTATAGAAATTGCATAAATAAACAAATAAATAAATAAGTCTCAGAGTCAATTTTATGTAACTTAATTATACGATTGGAATAGTCAAGGTAGTTTTATTCCCTATCAGCTTGAGTGAATTATAGGGGTATCCACAAAAGGGAGAAATTTCAAGAACAGTGGCAAAGACTCTTAGTGCTCCCTATTTGCAAATCACAACACAGGCCACATGGTAGAAATACCTGATCCGTCTTTGGTGGGGAATTTTTTTTTTCTCAAAACATTCACCTTCATAACCAGCAAAGTCTCTGTCAGGGTGCCCCTAACCCTGGAGAGCACTGAATACAGGAAATGTTTTCTTTTGGCCCCAACTTCTTTATTCAGAAGGAAATCCAACTGCAGAGGGACCACAGAAATGTTCTGACTGTGAGAAATATCTTGGTAAATAGGCACAGCTTGTGGATCGTCAGAGTATTCACACGGAAGAGATGTGTCCTGATGGGATAAATCGTTTTACTTCTCTTGTCAGAACACCAGAAGTTTCACACTGAGAAGAGACGCTATAGATACTTTTGAAGTGGGATTTTTTTCCACAGTCGTACCTTAAAACCCTATTTATAAAACTCTATCTATGCAACAAAAAGAAAAGAAAAGAAAAGAAAAAAACCTCCAATTCTATCTGAGGATGCTCAAAGAGGCCACAGAGGTAGACAAAATTTGCCACTCTGAGGAAAGTTTTTCTTGAAGACCAGATTTTCTGAACGATCACAAGTTCCAGAAAGGAAGCAAACAGAACTCTGTTTATGTGAATTAAAATCATTCACTTGAGAGGTGCCTTAATGTGCAGTTTGTGGGGCCAGTAGATATACAGCATCAATTTGCAATATTGCGCAGAAATTTGGAGGGAGGGCAGGTGAAAGAATCCTGTGTTTAACTGTGTATATCATACATAAAGTGCCTGTTGAATTCCTCAGGCAGTAGGCAGGATTCATTTTTTCTCAAGCTGTTCATGTTCCGATAAAAGAAAAAGGGGGAGAGGAGGAAAAGAAGGATAGAGAAAGTGTAGATGCAGGCCCAGTAAAGGACTCATAGAATGAGATACATACCAAATGAATAGAGGAGCTCATAGAAGCCCAGAGCGATAGAAAACCCATAGAAAACTCATTGAATATGGTCCATAGGAACAGTGGCCTGCTCAGGAAGGCTCAGAAAAGTCACGATAGCAGTCACAGCAGTGCGAATGAAGCCATGCCCTTTGGTTCATGCATTGACTTCACACACGTGTACAAATGGGTGGAGTGTCTGTCACTTTGCGGCATTTTCCCTTCCGCAGAATCTATTCATCTTTTTCCAAATCTTATATTTCTCATAAGGTTCAGAAACAGATATCTCCTTATTTCAAAAGACATGCTTGTTTTTCTAAAATAAAACTTTCCTGGGGACAAAAGAAGACAACATTTCCCTCCTTGTCTCTGGTCTGCACCGTTTAAGAAGAATCCCACCAATTCTTATCCAGCCGTTTTTGCCTCTTCTCAGTCAGGACCGGTCATCAGATGTCCCTTCAAGATAGCTGATGACAAAATCTAACAGATTTTACTCTGGGTTTGATTGATTGATTGATTGATTGATTGATTGATTGATTGATTG